CCCCCCCCCCCCCCCCCCCCCCCCCGTGAGTCTTGAACTCTTGGCCAGACTTGTGTGTAGCAGGGAATGGTCACAATGGTCACAACCTGGGCTCCACCCCTCCTGGCTGTGGCAAGTTGGGTAGGCCCTTCGAGCCCTATGGAATTGCTTTCCTATCTATTACAATGGTCTAAAAACCGGTGTCTTTTGCCTCACGTGAGGGCAAAACATGATAGCACACGTGAACTGCTCTGTGTTCCTCCTCAGGACCAGAATAGGGGAGAAGAGCAGCAGCCAGCCTCCTGTAGCATCCTCTGAGGCAGAACAGGATCCTGGAAGAAGGGGTTCAAGAAGAGTCACAGGGAGCAGGACTAGGTATCCCAGAATCTCAGGACAGGGGGGCTGGAGGCATCTCAGCTGAGTATTCTGGGGTCTCGAGGTGTGACAGTGTCAACCCAGCCCAGAAGCAGGAATGGCTGTTCACCGTGACCGGGCCACGTGTGCACTGGCCGGAAGTGTGTTATCTTAGTATTTTTAGCACCCTGTAAACACAGAAGCAGCAGTCCCTACTGTCCAAGAGTGGAAGCCTCCGTAGGCTAGGCATTTGGTGCCAAAGCCCCCACAGAGGCACCTTGCTGTGCCTGAGGCCCTCCAGGCCTTGGTCGGCAGCCCGGAGGCACACCCAGGGAGCCTCCCTGTGATCCTCTTATCCATATTCTCTCCCTTATAGCTTCCTGGGTTGCAAGAGCTGGGAGACAGTACATGGCTTACATGGAAGGCTCTGTGTCAGCAGGCCTCCTAGTCACACATCACACCAGAAAAATCGGGTTGTGATTGGCACCTAGGCAGCTAAGTTCCCCTCTGTGCCCTGCATCCCCTCCGTCCCCCTGCTGGGGTCACAGCGGGGCCGATCCCTGTAAATACCAGTCCACTTACATGTGCATTTTTCCTCTATGATCTTCCTGTTTTGATGAGACACTGCCTTTGGCCGCACAGGTTCCCTGGGGGATGGAGGTCCTGAGGCCCAGCCCTAGCCAGTCATTCAGGAATTCTGCTTCCTGGCGCCCTCCACATTCCACCAGGCTAACGCCTCCTGCTTTGCGTGAATGGGGTCTGCCTCCCCCATTCCCACGGTTCCCATGGTCACTTCCTTATCACCGTCTCCAGCTGACTGAAAAAGGCCACATTCCAGGGCAAAATTAGGCTCACCCTCCCTTTCTGTTTTCCTCCAGCGGGCAGGAGGGTTTGCTGGAGGTCATGGGTCTGGCGCTGGAGCCGTCTTGCACAGGGAACTGACTTGCTGCCCACCTTCTGCTCAGCCATATCCCCTGAATCTATCACTTGGTTTCTTGGATTGTTTGAGGAATGCTTGGGGCTCCTGCGGCATCCAGGCACAGTCCCAGGCACTGGGCTTCCAAACAGTGGGAGCTACAAGGTGTGTCACAAGGAGGGTCGGACAGCTGGCAGGGGAGGGAGGGCTCTTCTCATTTGCTCCATGTTGTAGATTCAGCTGATGCCTGGATGTGGCTGGTCGCCTTTGAGGGGTCACTTTGTGATGACCTTTCAAGGCATTTACTTGTGTGTGCAGCGCCTGGGGTGGAACACAGAACCTCTGCCTGTGAGCTCCACAGCTGAGCTCCATCTCCAGAGGGCAGAATGGAGATTACTCTAAGCCCCTTCCTCTCTTTCTTCTGCCTTTGAGCTAAGGCAGCACAGGGACACACCCAGCACCAATTCCATGCTCTTCAAATACCCAAGGCTTCAGAACCATGGAGCAGGTACAAGCTCTTTCCAGAAGTTACCTAATCCTGTTAGAGCCACAAAAAGTGAACTAAGATAAAACTCGTACCTGACATCATCCAACAACCCCAAGCTGGGGACATTCCAGAAACTAACCAGCAAGTGCCCTTCAACAGTAAAACAAAGAAGTGTCATCGGGGAAAGGGACAGAGCCACAGCTGCACTCTGTAGACTGAGGCAGTAGCAGTCTGGGCGGTTCTCTTCCGAGACCTCCTCCACTCAGAAAACCCCATGATTCCCAGCTTCATGGCAGAGAAGAATTTCATGATGAGCCAACATGAAGCAGAGTCCGAGTTTATTAGGTGAGATTTTAAGTTTTTGGCTCAAGTGCTAAGGGTAGGAGAGGCGATAGAGAAGAAAGTAAGACACTGGAGAGCCTGGGTCTGTCTTTGTCCTCACAATGAACAAGATAGAGGTGTAAGATATCGGTGGTGGTGGCGGGCCTGGAGAGATGGCTCAGCAGTTAAAAGCACTTACTTGCTGCTCTTCTAGAGGACCTGAGTTCAATCTCCAGCACCCACAAGGCAGCTCAAGGCTTCCTGTAACTCCAGTTCCAGGAGATCTAACAGACACACATGTAGGCAAAACACTAATGTACATAAAATAAAAATAAATTATAAAAAAAAAAGAGAGAGAGATTTTGTTGGGTTTAAAAGATGTTGTCTTCAAAGGATTGCTAAGAACCTAATGAGACCTCTGGGTGGTTCCCGACGGTACCCGGCAGGTCACACGTGCTAGGGTAGGTCACAGGCAGGTAGGGGATCTTCACTGTAAGCAATGTTAATAGTCTTCGTTTATGGGAGCCATAAAGATATGTGGGAGGGAATGAGGCCCTACCCAAGGGCATACACATTCAGCCCCTATGCCTGATTCATTGCCATTTTAACAACATATCTATATATAGTTAAACTATAAAATAGCTATCATACTTACAGTCATCTATCACTTATTATAAGTCTATCTATCTATCTACCTACCTACCTACCTATCTGTGAGACTCCAGTGTGAGGGGCTCTTTTTCCTCAGTTCTCTATAATTTTCCCTGTCTTTATTTCCTGCCTCAGAAAGTTGAGGACTGGTCACAACAGCTAAATGCAGCGTGGTACCCGAGCGCAGCAAAAGGACGAGAATGGGAAAGTTAGCAAAACCCTGAGAAAGTGGGCAGCCTCGTTGATGGGACATGCCAAGGTTAGCATCTTAGGGTTGAGAATTTTAGTTACATGAGATGGTAGCGTCGCACCATGGGTGAAAGGTTGGTGGGAGCCTGTAGTCATGGTTATCCTCTGGAGACAGAGGTAGTCTGAAGTGGAAAGTTTATGCTGAGGTTTTTTTGTTTGTTTTTGTTTTTGTTTTTCCTTTCCACAAAGGGAAGGAAAACGAAGAACAGGAGAGAAAAAAAAATATGAGGAGCCTAATGGTATAGGCTGGTCATCTCACCTATTTTGGAGGCTGAGGCAAGAGGAATACAAGTTCAAGGCCTGTCATGCTTACACTGGATCCTCCGAACCTGCAGGCACTACACTCACAGATTCAAACAACCACGGGAAATAATCAGAAAAAACATGTCTGCCTCTCCTGTGTACAGACTTTCCTCTCTTGCTCTTGTTCTCTGAACAATGCCGTTTGCCATATTCACTGACAATATGCTGTCTTGGGTAAGTTCATGAGAAGTGATTTGAAGTGTATAGAAGGATACATGTGTTCTCTGCGCATTATATACAACACACCTGAACATCCTTGGGGTTTCTGAGGAAGTTCTAAAGCCAGTCCTCTAGGATGCCTGGGACAGCCACACATTTTTGGAGAAAGGCCTGATGGAGGATGGCGGTGGCTTTGGGAAGGTAGAGGCTTTCCAACTGTAAAATTGTTTCCATGTAGAATTTTCCCCAGCAGGTTGTCTGGCCTTGTTATCTGAGCTAGAGTCAGAGTCTGGGCCTTGGCAGCAGCTGACAACCAGGCTTGACCACTGCTCTCAATAGTCCCCATGGAGTTCAGTGTGGCCACACTGTGAGAGAGAACCAATAAGAGATCCAGTGACCCCTCTTGTGGGCTCCTGATGGGAATAGAAGGCCGGAGTCACCAGCAAGGCGTGGTCCTACCCTTTTTTCCCTAGGCTGCAGTGTCTCCTAAGTGGTAGACAAGTCAGGACTTTGTGGAATGTCTTTTTGGCTGGCACTGGGCTCTCCAGGCCGTTTCCTTCTCCAGCATGAGATTGTGAGGGGAAATTCTGATTCCTTGGGCTACACGGACTCAGTATTCTGAGAGTCAAAGAGAGGGACACAGGTGTCTCTTTAGAATATCTTCATTCTTGCCAGGAGTAACTTTTCCTGATAGGGGAATGTGCCCCTTGCTGTTGCCACCCTGACTCCAAGCTAGGAGAAGGGATTTGTCCTGAGATCCTTTCCAGCGCTTTCCACATAGCAGCTCTTGGCACCGTCACAGTGTTTGCTGTGTCAGTCACACATCCACCACCCTGTGCACACAGCATATTTTACTTAAGTGGACTCAGTTTTAAAAGCTTGAATGGATGGATTTTTCAAAGGCAAACATTGATCTCATCCCCACAAATGGAAAACAGTCATCGCCAGTGAATCCCAGGCATCCGTAAGTGGGCAACGAGGAGGCTTGAGGAGAAGATAGTGTATCAGCGTGCTTGTCTTTATGAAAGGTGGGGCTGGAGCTCGCTCTGTGGTAGAGGGCTTGCCTGGTGTGTGTGAGGTCTTGGGTTCCACCCCAAGCACTATAATAAGAGAGTATTTTCTTCATTCTACAAGGATACAGTAATATATTTTAAAGATGCACACTCAGGACTGGGAAAGTGGCCTAGTAGGTAAGAGCACTTGCTACGTGGG